ACGACCCGCCGCGATTTGTATCTCAGCTAGACAGTGTTATGGGGGGGAAGAGGCGCGGGCAGATCCCCGCAGCTCATTGGTCAGTCAGCCTAGCCAATCAGTGAATCTGGGCTCAAGGAGCGCCCCTGTCTCCTAAAATAAGGTGGAGGTTAATAGCAGAACACACTGGATGGGAACTTATGGCCTCCACATGTAACTGCGCTCACACCTGCATATACACACACACACGCTCACCATTAAAACTAATAATAATAATAAATTACAGCTTAAAAGCTTTCATATGCTAATGCTTTCACCTGAGCATATTCGGGTTCGTTACCTGCTCTAAAGGCTGGATAACCCATGTCAAGATGTGCTTAGATTTGTATCATAGGAAGACAATGTGATGTTGACATATCTTTGTGAACACCAATCATTTTTATAGATGATAGATTCTTCAGCTATGCACCTGTTATGCTACCACCTGCAGCTCACCCAGATCAGGCTAGGAAATGTGACGATAGTGAGACCGGGCTCTCAGCTCTTCCCAACTGTTAAAAGAATTAAAACATCAAACGTTCAGGAGGCAAACTGGTAGTTCACGCAATAGACTGATCAGTCGTTCAGTTTGGATCTAATCAGGATCTATAAACATCTAAACTGGTTAACAACATGACTTCTTCTAAGAACCATGTCAGAATTAAGAAATACTTAAACTGATTTACAAACCAGTTTTTAAATGTGTATGGCATTATGTATTGTGGGGGTAGGGAGGACAGGCATGCCATGGTGCATATGTGACTATCGGAGAACAACCTGGAGAAAATTGGTTCTCCAAGTCCACCATGTGTGTCCTGGGAGTTGAACTCAAGCCGTCAGGCTTAGTGGTAAGCACCTTTAATGGGCTGAGCCATCTCAACTTGAGTCTACAAATTAATTTCTAAAGACAATCACAGAAGTTAACATAAACAGTTGCATTTTTATAAAGCCCTTAGAATTTAAACTGTGCTTATTGCTTGGTTCTCTCAAACCCCTTGGCCACTCTGAATTTGACCCTCTCATCCCTAAATGCAAAAGAGCTAGCACCACTGCCCTCATAGGCCATGTTGCAAATACTCAGGCAGAAGAGGACCCGAAAGCAGAGCTTAGTGGCCGGCATGAGGCTAATTAATATCAAGTAGCAATTGTTTTAAGAGAGGTACTAATACTATGGATTAGAAGAAGAAACTGAAGTCTGGCACGACTTCCCCATGAGTACACACGGAATAAATTTGAACTGTGGTCCACATCTGAGGCTGTTTCCCTTATAGCAAGAAGCCCCAATGTGGGGACCATAGATCTTTAAGTGAATTTTCTGTAGAACCATGAACCATTGAGATTGATAGGGTAATAAACCAACAAAGGGCTCCCTCTGTTCCTTCAGACACTGCTATGAGAACCACTGGGGTTTCTTGCCAGTTGATTCATGCCTAGATACTACAAGCAGAAAGACTACACCAAGGATGGTTTCACGGAATTGGAGATTTTACTGCCAAGAAGCCAGCCTAAGGCCCACCACAAGCTATTACGGATATTAAAACTTCACTAACAGTCAGTCAGAAGTCTATAGGCACAGCAGTGGCAAGCTGGCTCTGGACACTCTTAAGAAGTATTGTGACATTTTGCTTTTGTGAGCACAGTCTTCTGGGTGTGGGCTACTTTTGTGTGGCTGGAGAAAGCTCAGGAAGGAACAATGGAATTCTTGGACTTTGCATAGAACTCAGTGTCATGAAGATCTCAGGCAGTCTATCCTAGCCTTTCTCTTTGAGGTAGCCTGGGAAACTTGGGGGTAGAGGACGTTTGGGAAGCAACAGAAGAAGCCTGCTTTTGTTTAGACCCATTCTTAGCCCTAGAAACTAAAGCAGACTCTGGAACTCCGTGTTCTTTCATCTGACCAGCAAATCTAAGGTTGCTGTCTGGGCTTGCACAACCTTCTGGGATACTTCCTGTAGTCGAGGGGCTCTAGTGTCACACGATGGACCCTTTGCAGTATTTCAGCAAACATCTGAACATTGTAAACCCCCACTGAAATCCATGCTGCCCCTCACACTCTCAGTTACAGCAATGCCATGGGACCCATTTGCTAATTCAGGCCCCAGTGTACAGATCAGTGCCCACGCAGGCACTCTCGGCCAGCCACAAGTTTGTTTTCTCACACGCTTTTCTCTCATGTTTTCAGAGGATGATCAGAGGCACATGCAGCCTTATAAGATAACAATATACATCTGTTTTATGTTTCTTTCTTTCTTTCTTTGTTCCTAGTATTACCAGCGCCTGGATGATCTGGTGGTGGCGCCAGCTCCGATCCCACCCCTCCTGGTTTCTGGAGGACCGGGTTCTGGAAAGTCCCTTCTTTTATCAAAGTGGTATGATGAGATGGAGTTAAACCACTCTCTTTGCTCTTTTGTTTGTTTGTTTGTTTTGTTTTGTTTTGTTTTGTTTTGTTTTTTAGATACAAGGTCTCATGTAGCAAAACCCAGCCTGGTTTCAATCTCACTGTGTAACTATGCATGACCTTAAACTCCTGGTCTTTCTGTGTCGACCTCCTCTAACTGCAGACTTTTAGTTAAATGTTTATTTTATTAACATTTTATGTTAATTGACATCGTCTTGTAATTAAAATGAGGCAATTAGTTTAAAAGGTTCTAAAAATAGAGTGAGCTCACTAATCCCCTTATTTGTTACAATGTGACTAACCATGTAATTAAGGACTCTGGGGCAATGTTTGATGTCTGGCTCTTTGTGTATCTGTGGTTTCGGACTGTAACAGACCACCATCAGCTTTATAAAAAGGCCTGTGTTTTTCTCTCAGGATTCAGCTGCAGCAGAAGCATTTCCCTAACACTCTGATCCTGTCTCATTTTGTGGGGAGACCAATGTCAACCAGCTCAGAGTCTTCCTTGATTATCAAGCGGCTGACCCTGAAGGTACACTGTGGGCAGTCAGGAGCTATCTGGATGTTATGCAGATTCTGAAGCTCTCGGGACTGAGTTAATAATAATAAGCAAACTTTTGGTGTTGTAGGTAGAACATCACTACTTTGAAATCTGAACTGCCCCAAAATCTGAAACTCTTTGATAACAGTGAAGATTGAACACTGGGGTCTTGTGCCTGCAGGGCAAGCATTCTACAACTGAGCTCCAGCCCCAGGGAACATCTGAAGCTTTCTGAGTATCAGCATGACAATTCACGTGGAAAATTCCATGTCTGAGCTCATGTGACATGTCACAGTTAAAACACTGGCTCACTTTGGAAGGTTCAGAATTACCTTCAGGCTACTTGTAAAGCATGTGTATGAAATATAAATGATTTTTATATTTAGACTTCAGCCCTGTTCCCAAGATCACTCATTATATGTATGTGAATATTGCCCAGAGCCCCAAAATCTGAAATCTGAAACACTTCTGGTGCCAAACATCTTGCACAAGGAATACTCAACCTACGAAAAGCTATCTTAGTTTTGTGTTTAAAAGGTTTAAAATATAGTACTTGGGTTGGAGAAATGACTCCATGGACAAGAGCACTTGTTGCTCTTACAGAGGACCCAGGTTTGGCTCCCAGCACCCACCTGTCAGCTCACAACCATCTGTAACTCCAGTCGCAGGGGATTTGACACACTCTTCTGGTCTCCATGGGCACTGCATGCACATGGTACACATACTTACATGCAGGTAAAATATTCATACACATAAAATAAAGGTAAATAATTTAAAAAATATGTATGACTTACAGTCTGCAAAGAAGACCCAGTCAGTAAAGTGCTGGCCGTACAAGCATAAAATCTGAGTTTCTATCCCCAGCATCCATGTTAATACTTGGGCATGGCAGCATGCATGTCTGTAACCAGAGCATGATGGGGTGGACAGAGACAGGGGGATACCTGGAACTTTCTGGCCACTAGCCTAGCCAGTCAGTGAACGCCAGGTTCAGTAAGAGACTCTGTCTGCAAAAAGAAGGTGGAAAAGCAATTGAAGGAGATGCCCAACATCACCCTCTGGCCCTCACATGCAAGCACGCGCACACAGACACACAGACAGACACACACACACCAGTACTTGATTCCACCACCATGGCAAGTCAATGCTGCCATACACAGTGAGGATGGAAAGGTCCCCCTGCTACCGTGGAGTACGGCTGATTTACTTTGCACGTGATGTCACCCTGTCACTTTGTCACCCTGCAGCTGATGCAGCACCTCTGGGCAGTTTCTGCACTGACGCTGGATCCCGCTAAGCTTCTGGAGGAATTTCCACATTGGCTGGAGAAGCTCTCCGCCCGGCATCAGGGCAGCATCATCATCATCATCGATTCCATAGATCAAGTCCAGGTGCCGCTCTCACTGCGTCTTCTATTAGCAGATGTTCTCAGAGACCAGGGCCCAGCGGTGGTGGTAGCGGGCATCTCAGTTCTGAGCTTCAGGGAAGGAGATGATGCTGTCCCATTTATTTCTACTTAATTCCAGGGAAGAAGTGTCTGAATTTAAAAAAAAAAATAAACAAAAGGACAAAATAATGGTATGCTTATAGAGAGTAGCATCAAGTAAATCTGTGTACTTAGCAAAAAGTATCTATGGGGTTGAGATAGGGCTTCTCTGTGTACCTTGGGTGTCCTCAACTTGTTCTGTGGGGCTGGCCCCACCTGAACTAACAGAGATCCACCTACCTCTGCCTCCCAAGTGCTGGGATTAAATGCCTGCGTTACCACTGGCCTATTTTGACCTTGTTTTAAGGCATAGACATTTCCTTAAATGTCCAGAATTCAAATTTGGTGATAACAGTGTTTTCCCAACCTAGGATAAACCATTCCCAAATAAGAGTTGTATCCTTAATAATAAGGAAAGTGTAATGAGACTTTTATCCCACTGGAGCGCTATGGGGATTGTTCTGAAATGCTCTTATTATAAATTGACTTCTGTTGTGTGCTCCTAAGCAAGTGGAGAAGCACATGAAGTGGCTGATAGACCCCCTGCCGGTGAATGTCAGAGTCATTGTGTCTGTGAACGTGGAGACCTGCCCCACAGCATGGAGGTATGGCCAAACCCAGAACTTGCAGAACAGGGGTTGTTTGACGGGCAGGCAAGGAAAGGGTCCTGACATGTGTCTGTGGTCTCCATGTACATGTCAGTGAGGCTGGGGAAAGGTGGATGGCCTCAAAGAGAAGGCACCATCTGTAAGACTTGGGGGGAAGTTAGAGCTGGGGCAGGAGGAAAGGGGGAATGGAAATGACTACAAACTCTCAGGACCTAGAAATGAAAGGTAGTTGTGACTTCATGGGCTGAGAAAGGAGACCCAGAGGATGGGCAGGTTTACTTGGATGGGGCAGGGATGGTGTAGGCTTGTTTCTTGAGTGGGTTTAATTTGAGTTGCCAATTGTAAATCTAAGTGATGATGTCTAGTGGGCAGGTAAATTTTGGGGTGAGAAAATTGGAGAGGTGGGGCAGCCTGGGAATTACAGTCTAGATACCTGTTATTCTAGGATGCAGGCTCCCTTTTTTTACAACCCTCAGAAAAGTGATATAAAGATCGAATTCTGTAAGACAGTATTTATTCCTTACAGAATTCCTTAGCCTATTTATTTTTACCCAGGGGGAAAACATTACAAGAAAACCTTTCTTCCCCAACCATGCCTCCTTAAGGAACTTTGATGCTATGTGCATACACTGTGTCAGTATGCATCTGTAAATGGGTCTGTGTATATATCTGTGCTCTGCACACAAGCATAAGATTTTTCCTAACCCTAGTCATTTGCCCTGTAAGTAGCCGGGTACAGAGACCATTCTGAACTTCTCCTCTGAGGCGCCAAGTGCTGGTGCCTACTTTTACTGCCATGAGGGACGTAGAACTGAAGTCGTTTCCCCTCCTAGCTAACATAAGCGTCGATTATGGCACTCTGTTGATTACCGGTGGATATGATGATCAGCCTTAGGATGAGTTAAATAATTCGATTAACAGATTCCATGTTTATCTTATAAAGACAGTATAAAATAACTTCATCTAATGGATTATAATGGGTGCCATGCTAGCTTATGGTCTTTGTTGTGTTGCTATAAATTTGATTTCTTTTTTCTCTTTAAACGAAAGGTTGTGGCCTACACTGCATCTCGATCCTTTAAGCCCCAGCGATGCCATATCTATAATAACGGCAGAATGCCGCTCCGTGGACATGCTGTTGAGCAGAGAGCAGGTGAGCCTTCCCACCTCAGTGCTTTCTCGGCTCTCTGCCGGAAGACTTAAAATTCTGTATATGTGCTCTGCTCTCATGAGGAAATTAGGGATTCAGTAGTTCTTTTGGTAAATATTGATTCCCTTTTAAAATGTGTGCGTGGCATGTGTGTATACCTGTGTGTCTGCAGGCACATGCCCCTGTACTCATGTATGTGCACACCAGAGGCTGCAGTCAGGTGTCTTCCCTATTGTTCTTTTTTTTTTTTCTTTGAGCCAGGGTCTCACTGAACCTGGTCCTCAGCATTTAGCTAAGCTAGATGGCCAGCAAGCTCCAGGTAACCACCTGTGCGGGGTTACAGCGCACACAACTGTGGCCCGCCCTTTTAATACGGGTTCCTCGGGATCTGACCTTGTGCAACTGGCTCTTCACCCACTGAGCCACCTCCCCAATCACCTCCATCCTGGTTTTTGTTTGTCTGCATGTTTTGTTTTGTTTATTTGGCTTTACTTTGTTTCAATTTTGAGACAGGGTTTCTCTGTATAGTCCTGGCTGTTCTGGAACTCACTCTGTAGACCAGGCTGCCCTCTAACTCATGGAGATTCACTTGCTTCTGTCTCCTGAGTGCTGGGATTAAAGGTGTGACCCACCACCACCAGGGCATTATGTTTTTAATTGCAGATATAGAAGAAGCAATACAAATATTTTACCATTAAGGAAGAGTATATAATATTATTAAGTGTAGGTATTCAAAGAAGAAGAAGGAGAAGGAGAAGGAGAAGGAGAGAAGAAGAAGAAGAAGAAGAAGAAGAAGAAGAAGAAGAAGAAGAAGAAGAAGAAGAAGAAGAAGAAGAAGAGGAGGAGGAGGAGGAGTGTTTTTATATAGGCTGCATCTTTCTTCTGTAGCTGAAAGTCTGGTCATAGCCAGACTCCCTCTACTACCTACCCCTGTGACATCGCTGATAGCATCGGGGACAGTTTCTTTCAGATGAGACATCTGTGGCTGGCTCAGGAATGATGACCCCAGGCTACTTTTCTTACTTTCAACTTGTTTTTGTTTGGAAACTGGTTTAGGAGAAGATGCTAGAACAGCACTGCCGTCCAGCGACAACCCGCCACGCCCTCTACGTCACCCTTTTCAGCAAGATGATGGCCTGGTAAGTGATCATCCCTGGGTGGGGTTCTGCCTGGGTTCATCTTGTTCATCCTGCTGCAGTCCATTCTCTCAGCAAAGTGACGGTTGCTCACACTAGTTTCACAGGCCTCAGACTTCTCCCTGTTCTAAGGTGTCACTAAGGTGAGGATGTAGCTCATTGTCGAAGATGATGTACTCAGGAAGGATCCTTCCTCTGTCTCTGTTCTCAAATCTAGTCATAAATATCTGTTTTCTGTATCAGTCAGTAATCCACCTTTCATAAGCATTTGATTATTGGACGTTGGTTTCTACAGCTTCCCTCTGCATGGTCCTCAGCCAGGGATGTAAAAGGAATATATATATATATATATATTTGTCATAATAGCGATCATCCTAACACAAGCCTTGTTTACAAACACTGAGTCTAACTTTCCTGTCTCTTAATTCCATGTTCTCACTTTGAACACCAAATCTGAAATGAAAAGAAAATCTTACACAATTAAGTTTCCTGTGGCGTGTCCTATCCAGGCTTTCCATTGTTGTTTGTGGTAATAGATACTGTACCTGGTGCGATTCCTCTCCGTACAACTGGATGGTGTTGATTGCAAGAACCTATCCTTCTCCTTTTATTAAACATAGATTCTTTTCTCACACATTGTCATCTGAATACAGTTCCCCCCCCCTTTCCTCTTCCCAGTTCCTCTCCACCTCCTTTTCCATCCAGAACCACCCCCTTTTTTCTCTCATTAGAAAAGAACAGACTTCTAGGAGATAAAAACAAAATTCAGCAATATAAAATATAGTAAGGTAAAATGAAAACCATCATACCATTGAGGTTGGACAAGCTAAGCCAACAGAAAAACAAAAGGAGCTCCAAGAGGATCAGAGGCCGCTGGTCCACATATTCAGAAGTCCCATCAGAGTTCTAAGCTAAAAGCTATAGTTGTATATGCCGAGGACCTGGTGCGGACTGATGCTGCCCTGAGGCTGGACATCTGCTGTTACTTCTGTCTCCGAGTTCATATGACCTTTGCTTAGTTGTTTTAGGAGGTCTTGTTCTCCTAGTGTCCTCCACCCCTTCTGACTCCCCCACTCCTACCTTTTCTCTCATGGGGTTCCCTGAGCTCTGAGGGGATTAATTTGATGGAGACACTTAGTTTAGAGCTGTGTGTCCCAAGATCTCTCTGTGTGTAATGTCTGGCTGTGGGTCTCTGTATTTGTTCCCGTCTGCCTCAGGAAGAAACCTCTCTGATGACTGAGCAAGGCGCCAATCTATGTGAATAGCAAAATATCACTGGGAGTCATTTTATTGTTACGTTTTACCCTAGGTCTCTGGACTATCTCGACTCTGGTTCTTGATCACCCAAGCAGTGTCAGGTCTGACTTTCAACTCATGGAGCAGGCCTTAAGTCAAAGCAGACATTGATTGGTTAGTCCCTCAAGGTTTTTGCCACTATTACCATGGCATATTTTTTTCAGGCAGGACAGGTTAGTAATCAAAGGTTTTGTGGTTAGGGTGGGGTTTACTTTTCTCTTTTGGTAGCTGGCAGAGTACCTTTCCATGTCATAGACACTACACCATGGGGATGAGGGTTCTGTGTAGGCACCAGCTCGACCTCTCTCTGTTCAATGAGTTATGTGAGTGTTGTCTTTAGCAAATGGGGTCTTGCTGACAGTGGAGAGCAACCTATTGTCTTGGCAAAAGCCTAGGTTGTTTGGGATTTCCATGGAACCCTTTTGGCCAACAGTTCAATTGGATGAATCCTGGCACTGGAGGCTTTGTTTGGTGACAAGAGATGGCTAGTACGGGTTCTGTCTCCCTCATTCTTTGGAGACTTCACTGGGGTCACCTTCATATATTGTAGGAAGTTTACAATGTGCTAGGTTCCATACCACCACTCAGATGTCCTTCAGTTCTGTCTGCCTCTCCCCCTCCCTCCCTCCCTCAATTCCTTCTCCCACCTGGTCCTCCCATTTTCATCTGTCTCCCACCCTCACCCTCAGGCTCCAGCCCACCCATAAAATCTATTCTATTTTCCTCTCCCAGGGAGATCCATGTGTCCTCCCTAGTCCCTTCTTCTGTGTCTAACCTCTCTGGGTCTATGGATTGTAGCTTGGTTATCATTTGTTTAATGGCCAATATCCAGATGTAAGTGCATACCTACCATATTTATCTTTCTGGATCTGAATTACCTCACTCAAAATTTGTTTTTTAGGTTCCATCCATTTTCCTGAAATTTTCATGATGTCACTTTTTTAAGAGCTGAGTAATACTCCATTGTGTAAATGTACCACTTTTTTTTTTTAATCCATTCTTCTGTTGAGGCACATTTAGGTATGTCCAGTTTCTGGCTATTATGACTAGAGCAGCAATGGACATTGTTGAGCAAGTGTCCTTGTGGTAGGATGAAATGTCCTTTGGGGATATACCCAAGAGTGACATAGCCGGATTGATTCTCATCGTTTTGAGGACTGCCATACTGATTTCCATAGTGGTTGTACAAGTTTTCACTCCCGCAAGCAATGGAGGAGTGTTCCCCTTGCTCCACATCCTCACCAGCATGTGCTGTCACTTGTGTTTTGTATTTTAGTCATTCTGGCAGGTTTATGATAGACTCGAAGTAGTTTTGATTTGTACCTCTCTGATGTCTAAGGACATTGAACATTTCTTTAAGTGTTTCTCAGCCATTTGAGTTTCCTCTACTGAGACTTCTCTGTTTAGATCTGTACCTCATTTTTTTTAATTGGACTATTTGTTTTTTTGATATCAAGTTTCTATAAAAATCTTATCTTACAAGGGACTGTGAACCATTTCTATATTTAAAAAAGAAACTTTTGTGCAGTGGAGTTGTTATAGTGTATGTTTAGTTTGGTTTTTTTTTTTTTTTTTTTTTGCTAAAGATTGGACCCAGGGCTGGACAAGGGTGAGCACTCTCCTGCTAGGTTATATCCCCATTTCTAATGCCTGGAATGTGCATGTATGTCACCTGTATTTACTCAGTTTATTTATTTTGCAGTACATAGGCCTGAGCCTGTAGCGCTCTGCATGCCTGGCGAATGCCGCGCCTCTGAGGTGGCTTCTCACTAAGTTGTGAGGCCGAGCTCACTCTGTCCCCTAGGCAAGTCTTAAACTTGGAATGTTCCTGCCTTGCCCCCCAGGAGCTAGGGCTACACACTCGAACTACCAGTCCTGGCTTGTTTACCAAATTTCTTTAGTTTACCCTAGTGTTCTCAAAATCCTGGTTCCATACAATTTTGGAATGCATGGCTAACAGTGTTCTTTGTTATGCCCTGTATCCTGCAGAAGGTGGCATGGTGGAGGGTAAGAGCCAACCCTTACTTGTTTTTATAGTCCACAGTGAACACTAATTGCTTGACATAAATTAACTGTCAGCACGTCTATTGAAATGAATTAAATGATAAAATAAACCAAATTGCTCCAGCAGCCTGGAATACTATCGTCTTTCTGTATTTTTATTGAATTCCCATTATGAGTTGCAGCACAAAAATAGAGGTCATTGTTTTATGTGCTCCAGATTCTTCACAGATATTGGCAGTCTACATGAAATTCAGCCTGTTCTCAATTCCCACAGTGCCGGGAGAGCGGGTCACTTAGCTGAAACCCTTCATCAGTGCCTGCAGTGTCAGGATACGGTGTCACTGTACAGACTCGTTCTCCACCACGTCCGGGAGTCCATGCCAAGTGACAGGGATAAAGAGTGGATGACACAGGTGAAGTGCCCTGAACCCACAGGGTTCTTTTTCTTTTTTCTCTTTTGTTTTTCTTCCCCATTGATAAATTGTCTTAGAACTTTAAGATGAAAGAAAAGCTTTGACATTTTGCTGAGCAAAGTTGTCTTTTTTCCGTGTGTGTGTGTGTGTGTGTGTGTGTGTGTGTGTGTGTTCACATGAGTTGCCGTGTATGTGACATCTGCATGCATATACGGGTGTATCTATGAGGAATGTACTTGCCAGTGTGTACATGTGTGAAGGTCAGAAGCTGGCATCAGGATGTCTTCCTCGGTTGCTTCTCTACTTTCTTTTCTTGAGGCAAAGTCTGGGTAAAACCTCAATAAGTGTTAAAAGGGTTAAAGGGTTTTATAAATTCTTGGGCGTGATTTCTGAAGTAGCCTGTGGTCCCTGTGTGCTCTGTCCTCCGTCTAGATTCTCTGCCTCATCAACGTTAGTCACAATGGCGTGAGTGAGTCAGAGCTCATGGAGCTGTATCCAGAGATGTCCTGGGCCTCTTTGACCCCCATCATCCACAGTTTACACAAAATGCATCTGCTGACTTACAGCTGTGGCCTGCTTAGACTTCAACATCTACAGGTAAATGTTATTTCAAGTGTCTTTTTAATAAAAAGGTTTTTTTTTTTACTTATAGGTATCACTTTAGCATTCCATGCTATATTATGCTATGTTATTTTAAACATTTCAGATGTCAACCTCAAAACCTAAAGTTTGCCGTTACGATTTATTTGGAACGGCTTTAAATTGCATGTGAAACCTGTCCAGCACTAAGCACGGGTAGTGCCTTCATGCAGCAGCTATTACCCAAAATGCTTTAGTTCTAAGGGTCTGCTGTAACATGTTGTCTCTATAATTAACAATGGCATGTGGTTCAGTTTTAATAAAAGGAGCCAGTCTCAGTGACACAGGTCCACCATTATCCTAGTACCTGGGAGGTAAAGGCAGGAGGATCAGGAGGTCAAGACTAGCCTCTACTATGTAGTCTAGCCTGGGCTGTATGAAAGCATACAGTCCAGGCTAGACTACATAGCAGAGGTTTTTGTTGTCTCAAAACCCACAACATTTATTAAGAGGAGCCAGGTGTGGTGGCACCTGCCTACAGTTCTGGGAGGCTGAGGCAGGACCTTAGTGAATCTGCAGCCATCCTAGGTGACATAGCACGAGACAAATCTCAAAAACTCAAAAGAAAAAAAAATAAGAGATTATCTGTCCTGTTACATGTTACACATAAAATGTTTTTTAAAAATTCCATTCACAAAACATATGAAGCAAAATCAAAAAGGGAATTTCCTCCTAGGAATGCAAACAAAGATGAGAGTCAGCCTTTTTTTATAGCCACTCTCCCTGGCTCAGGAGCGGTCTGCCCAGTGCTGGGTAAATTCTAAGTTGTCCCAAAGCAGTGAAGAAACTGGGGATGGCCCTTGAAGGTGTCAGACTTGCCATGTGCCTCATCCTTGTAAATCTTCAGAGAGGACTGGCTAGTAGAAACCCTGTCTCGTATAGCGCCGTGACCAAGTTGTGTGTGAATTCTCTCACCCAAGATCACAGCATCCTCCCTGTCACTGTTGAATGTTTGTCACGTCACAGCCATGCTCCTCTGTCACATACGACGTGGATATAATTTGCTCTTTTGAGTTGCCTTTTCAATGCACTTAAATTAAGCGTATCACATCAGTTTATCCTAAATTTTAAAGCACTGTAGGGCTGTTCCTACTATATAACTATAGAAATGAAAGAATTATACGTTGCTTTTTGCAAATCCACTGTCAGATGTATAATGACTTAATAGAAACACTATTCTTTTCTTCCTTTCCCAGGCCTGGGAAACAGTGAGGCTGGAGTACATGGAGGACCCCGACCTCGTTTCTTCATATAGGCAAAAGCTAATTAACTATTTTACATCGCAGCTCAGGTATCAGCAATGCCTGCCCTGTTCTTCTGCCACCCTGCCTTTGTGTTCTTGTTGCTCTTCCTTTGCTTATAAGTTGAAGTGTAAACTTCAGCCAGGTCAGGTGACAGACACATGCCTGTGATACCAGTTACTAGGCAGACTGAGGCAGAAGGATTGCAAGTTTAAAGTCTGTCTGGGCTACTGAGTTCAAGGCTAACCTACAAAGCTTTAAGAGCTCTTCCCTATTTCAACATTAGATAGATAGATAGATAGATAGATAGATAGATAGATAGATAGACAGATAGAGGCAGGGAAGGAAGCCCAGTGGCTACATAATATATGCCAAATATGGATTCAATCCCACGTACTGGAAAAAAAAGTAAAACTATAATTATTACCTGAAGAAATTTATCCTTTCCTTATCCCATATTAATATCAAGAGCAAAATGCCATTTTATGGAAATCTTTTGTTATTATGATAAAGAAGACACTTTAAATGACATTGATCAATTTATTGTCTTTATTTATATTCTATTTGAATGATTAAAAATATACATCACATGTGCATTCTCTCTCTCAGACACACGCACATCTCTGTGTATGTATATTCAGGTCCTTAGAAGGTTGTTTGAGGGGTTTTTTTGGGCTTTTGGTTTTGTTTTAGGGGGTTGTTGTTTTCGTTTTTGTGTTTTTGTTTGTTTGTGGTTTTTTTCTTTCTTTTTCCTTCATTTAGGAAAACGCCTTTAATGTGCTGGGACTTTCACTCTCATAAGCCTTTCAATGTTTCAATGTTCTAGCTCCTTCCTCATATCAGCCTGTGGAAGAGTCTGGTCTAAAGTATCAGGGGCTTGTCTCAGTGAAGATGGTAAACATTTCTGGTATTTGCCTAGCTTTCGTGGCTTTGGATTATACTAGAGTCAAAAACAGTAGTTAAGTGTGTTTGTCTCCCTCCAGTAGTCTCCTGAAGCCATCGGAGGCCTCTGTTGCCAAAGGTCTCACTGTGTGGTCTCCTCCCTCTCACAGTCAGGACAGAGTGACCTGGAGAAGCGCAGATGAACTCCCGTGGCTCTTCCAGCAGCAGGGAAGCAAACAGAAGCTGCACAGCTGCCTCCTCAACCTCTTCGTGTCTCAGAACCTTTACAAAAGGTCCGCAGCCTTCTAGATCTCTTCCTGGAGGGACAGAGTAAATAGCTAGTTGTTTTACCTAACAACACTGGTAAAATGGAATTGTTTTAAACTTTAAAGTCAGAGTAGTTTCAGTAGCACCTGAAATACAAACAATGGGAGATGGGGGAGTGTGGGGGGCGGGGATTCCATGATAGTTTATAAATTGTCATGAGATCTTCTTTGTCCAGGGAAGAAGAATTTTGCTGCTTTTCAAAAATCAACTAGAGTGATCCCAGGGCAATATTATACATTATTCTTACATTTAAGCAGATTTTAAATCGTGCAGATAAATTATTCCTAACCTCAGCTTCTCCAGGCCGCCAGGTCTCTCACAAGTGTCACTTCTAACCAGATTCTGGGTTCCCAGTGGAATCTGACCCAGATCAATGTAAATTGATTCTACAATTGATTAACATTGTTCTACAATGTTACTTCTGTTGCCTCTTTAGATACATTTGAATTTGTTAATGGCTAACTGCTCCCCCCCTTTTTTAAACTGGACTTCTCACCTACTAAGCCTCAGGAAGGATTTTTTTGTTTGTTTTCTACCTCACTTAGAAATTTAGAAATAGGTCTATAATTTGATTTGCCCCAGAGCAGACACTCACAAATTTCATCGTTGGACCTGCTGAGCTCCATGTAAGCTGCCTGTGAGTCCTGTGAATTCACATTTGGTCTTTTGGCCTGGCATCTTTCTCACCCTCCTGCAAACATCACATGTAAATGAACACTGTTCCGTTTTCCCCAGTTCCTCAGGGCAATCACGAGGTGGATATACTATGGGAGCTGACCTGTTTCGCTAGTTTCTGCTACTTAACTCCCATCATTTAAAATGATTTGGAGGTGAGCTGAGCTAACCTGAGCATGAAAATGCCTACCAGGGATTCCAGTGAATCAGCATCAGGGACAAAGCAAGATCTTTAGCCACAGCGGCCAGCATTGCAAAGGCCTTCCCGGGTGCTATGCACTCAGACAGCAGCAGGTGGCGCTGGTAACCCTTTCTGTACAGACAGTGGTGAGAGGTGAGAAGTCAGACAGCCTGCTGCAGACACCGCAGCCAGGAGCAGTGGGATGGATGGCAGTGCAAGCCTGGCCTCACTGTCCCTGTGTAATACTTGCCTCTGCATAAACTGCCTACGGCTCTGTAGGAAGGAATTCCAGCATTTTCATTTGCTGTGGGTTTTAAAGTATGTTTTCCATTAAGCTAACCTTGTCTGTTGGAACAGAGGACACTTCGCCGAGTTGCTGAGTTACTGGCAGTTTGTTGGCAAAGACAAAGGTGCCATGGCGACCGAGTACTTTGAATCACTGAAGCAGTATGAGAACTGCGAAGGCGAGGAGAACATGCTGTGCCTAGCCGACCTGTATGAAACCCTCGGCCGGTTTCTGAAGGACCTAGGACTTCTCAGTCAGGTAGCCTCAATGGACCCAAAGGCAGGATGGCTCCCCATGCTTACGCGTCTCTCCTTCCAGGACAGGAGGTTTTTTTCATTTGTGGGCGCTGAGATCTGTGGTGTTGAATTGCTGCGTTTGATCAACCTCTCTCACGCCTTTATTCCCAGGCCGTGGTGCCTTTGCAGAGGTCCCTAGAAATTCGGGAGACAGCCTTAGATCCCGATCACCCTAGAGTAGCCCAGTCCCTCCACCAACTGGCCGGTGTGTACGTGCAGTGGAAGAAGTTCGGCGAAGCGGAGCAGCTATATAAACAGGCCTTGGAGATCTCAGAAAACGCTTACGGTGCAGACCATCCGCACGCTGCTCGGGAACTTGAGGCGCTCGCGACTTTGTACCACAAACAAAACAAGTAAGTCTGAGATGACTCACCCTTGGATCTCACGAAGCGAGTGGGTGTTTCTAATGTATAGAAGTAGGAGGCTTTGCTTTGCGGCTGTTTATTTTCCTTATCCTCCGCATCATGGTCAGACGGTATTTCCTGGTCTTCATGGGATACACAAAGAAAAATAAAATTCCCAGGTTTTTTTTTTCATTGACGATGCATGGAGGATGGAACATGAGCTTTGAGGTGATGTAGTTTCAGCTCTTCCGCCAGGCTTCACTGTAATGCTGAACACATTATCCTACAGGGACCACGAGCCATTCTTGGTGGCCGAGTCCAGTTTGGCAAGAAGGTTTTATTGTCTCCCATCCATATTTTTTATTTGCATATTGTCTATGGTCGCCTCTGCTTCAACGGAAGGTTTTCTTAGTTTTGACACAAACCCCAAAGCCCACAAAGCCTAAAATATCAACTACACACCATTTGTAGGAAACACTGGCTGATCCAGAGTACAATAAAAAGGCTTTTAAAGCGAGGGCGTACCTCAGCAACAGGGCATTTGCCTAGCTTGTGTATGGCCCTGGGTGTGGTCCCTGATACCATATGAGGAAGACAACATACTTTTTAAAGCTCTTGTACTTACTGGGCACCTACTGAGTGGCATCTCTTGCACTCTCAGAAATTCTTTCTCTTCCTCCACCGTTAGGAAGACTTCCTGAAAGTTTTTCTTTTTAACTTCTGTAAGTATTGGTTCACACTAATTTTGCCTAGATTTGTGCATTTATGGCTAACCAAAAATTAGCCTGTCCAGATAAAAGGTGCCCACTGCAAACTGAACATTGGGATGTTCCCTGAGTTAGACTGCTGGAGACTCTGACTGCATGAAGTCGGTTTAAAACAATTACATGTGAGCATTATGGAGACCTGTGTGAGTTTCCTCAGAGACTCTGAACTCTATGAGCCACCCCAGCCTACGTTGTATTTGACAGTCAGAACCTCTGTGCACTGTGTCAGTGTTTGTAGTTCCCTGAAATCATGACCATTCATCCTCTCTCTCTCTCTCTCTCCACCCATTCTTCCCTCTCTCCCCTCTCTCCCTCCACTCTCCCTCTTCATACCTTCTTTTTCTCTCATTTTTTTTTTGAAGGTATGAACAAGCTGAACATTTTAGGAAAAAATCAGTTCTAATTCGTCAGCAAGCCACCAGGAGAAAAGGCAGCCTGGTAATGAGACCCCGTTCCTGTTGCCCCTTGACCCTGAGGGGAAGATGAGGTCGAATATCATGAGCACATAAACCTTGCACAGGAGCGCTTCAGGCTTTAAGCGACTACTAGAAAGGCACTGGTTGGCGTCTTCCTTTCATTTATAACCACAGTTTGAGAGAGGTGTTGTAGAGCATCGCAACCCAGAGGGCTTTTGAGTTACAAAGCTCAGCAGAAGGGGCACTCTGGAAGGCCTTGTTTCGGGCTACTGTGATTCTCCTCTGTGAAGAATTAGGAAAGGACATAGAAATTTAATAGCATCTTCTGTGAGATTCAGGTGGGAAGAACTGTTTCCTTTAAGCAAGCGTTTCAAATGTTTCTAAGTTGCTGATAAAATCCTAAATGTAGTTTGGCTTACTAATTCTCTGTCTGTGGGACTGAGATGGTCAGTTGGTATAGTGCCTGCTGTACAAGCATGAGGGTCTGAATTAGATTCCAGGCCCCGCATTAATAATAATAATAAAAAAAAGGCTGCCATGCTGACACGCTTATAATCCCAGCACTGGGGAAGTACAAACTCGGGGGTCCCTGTGACTTTCCTAGCCTCATTGGTGACCCCCAGGTCCCAGTGAATGACACCATTGTAAAAATAAGGTGGATGGCAACTGAGGCACCACCGGAAGGTGCCCTCTGCTTTCACGTGCTCCTGTGTGCACACATGCATGATTATAAAACAATAACTATAAGTTGCTCTATACAGAAGGACCTGATGTGTCTGAGTGCAGCTGGAGTTAAAGATCAGTGAGCTAGGTCCTAGTCTTGTTTGAAGTACTTTGACATATACCATGCTAGAATACATCATGAACGGTTTTCACAAGATAGCGCTGAATGAATGTGTGAACATGGTTCCATTTAGAAGTCAACACACATGCTCCTCAGTGTCGTCAGTACGTTACTTACAACTGGTATCTAGATTTAAGAAAGCCTTTTGTCAGGACAAGGGTGTATGCCTCCAGAGTCGAGGCTGCCACTCAGTGCTTGTGTTTCTGTTATTGCAGTATGGGTTTGCCCTACTACGCAGGCGGGCTCTGCAGTTGGAAGAGCTCACCTTGGGCAAGGACAAGCCTGAGAACGCCCGCACCCTCAATGAACTGGGTGTCCTCTACTACCTTCAAAACAATCTCGAGTGAGTATCGTGGCATTCACAATGCGGTTGAGTATCCACTGTGCCTCTTTGGTGGGAAGCTGTTTTACCTGTCTGTCAAGTCCAAGGTTGGGGAAAAATAAACCTTTGCCAATTCCCTATTTGGTTTGGGTTATGAACATTCACACACTTAATGTTGTGTAGCCATTTCCTTTCCACGTTGCTTCTGAAGCTAAGCATTACTCGGCAGCTCCTCTAGCACGGCCTTCATGGTTACAGAAAGCAAGTCAATGCTGGCATTATACGGGAGACCCACAGAAGCAACTTCAGACCAGCGAGGAGCTCGTAGAGTCGGTGGGGGCAGCTACTTTCACCCTATGGTTTACTTAGAAAAGACGTCACATCTACATTTCCCCTGTCTGAAAAGCAAGTGCATTTAGGTCCCAGAAAAATGCAACACCTTTTTCATCTGCTTCCCCTAAGTTCCTTTTACCAACAGTTATTTGGTAGTGACTCCTAAGGGATAAAGAACGAATGCCTATGCCTTCCACTCGGCACCACTGGAAAGGCCTTAAAAGGCTGTTTCCAAAAATGTAGGAGAAATGGAGTTGAGAACTGAGCAATTATACAGATGTCTCATGGGAAGCAAAGAAAGGGGAAGGGTGTGGTAAGGAGGAGGGGTGGCTTTGGGCTGAATCCTTCATTTCACTGTGTCTAGGAATAAACGTGTTTCTGTTCTCCACATCACTAAGGGCTTAGGACTCTGACTTCTAGAGAACAAACTGCTTAAGGCATTTTGGGGTTTTGTTCCTAGGACAGCAGAGCAGTTTCTGCTGCGTTCCTTGGAGATGAGGGAACGGGTTCTGGGGCCAGATCATCCAGACTGTGCACAGTCCCTGAATAACTTGGCAGCTCTCTGCAATGAGAAGAAGCAGTATGAGAAAGCAGAGGAGCTGTACGAACGAGCCCTGGACATCCGAAGACGCGCACTGGCTCCTGACCACCCTTCCCTGGCCTACACCGTGAAGCATCTCGCAATCCTGTATAAGAAAACGGTGAGTACCCCTCACCGTGTCTGTGTGCTTTATAATGTACGGGAGAGGCCAGGACTGCTGCCATCCGGTTAGTTTGTTGCCTGATGGGAGGTTATTGCAGGTGAGCTTTTTAAAATAAAGTATTTAATTTCTAACAGTGAGAACATGAAGTTATCTATTGTTTCAGACTTAACTCAATTAAGATACTGATTTGGTTTTCTGAAAATACATCCCAGCTACAAATCCAGCATCGGCATTGCAAATGAGTTTCTTTCAAATACAGCCCATTTTATCAACATTAGGAATGAGATCTTGTTTTTATAGTATCTCAGGAATTTACAAATTCCCCTTACTTTACTTGCTGTTAACCAAAATACACCAAATCACCCAGTGGCCAGAGCTATAGAAGGTAACTTGTTTGTTTGTTTGTTTGTTTGTTTGTGTTTTACAAAATTGACATTTTATTCCACTCTTCTTTTATTTTGTCTACAATTAAATATCAGCTCTTTGCCATGGGAGTAAAGTTTGGATTGTTCTATCTGCTCAAAACAAAACAGAAGGTCATGTATAAGAAGGGAACATGCTGTTCTCAGGCCAGCTTCTCAGTTAAAAGAAATCATAAGGAAACCCTCAAGGGGACTCGGCAGTTGGTGGGACATGAATTTATTTGGATGCCTCCTTGAGTTAAGAACAACAGCAGACCTATACAACTGGACTTTTCTTTTGCTAGAAACACTGGATGAGTAAATAAAGTGCAAACTATCTTTCCAAATTATCAGATAATCTCTGTGTTCCCAACAGCTTCCTTTAAATATTATAGTGAATTTTCAGTTGCCTATAGGCATGACCAGCTATAGAAAATGCTTCTGCAACTTTATTTAATATATTTTATTTCTGAAGGATGCTCTGATCAGAGAGCATTTATTGCTTTAATATTTTGTTAGTTTGTACTTTTGTTTTTAAGGGAAGAGTTGACAAAGCTGTACCTCTGTATGAATTGGCTGTTGAAATTCGGCAGAAATCCTTTGGCCCAAAGCACCCCAGTGTAGCTACTGCCTTGGTAAACTTGGCAGTCCTTCATAGCCAAATGGTAAGGATCTACCTTCCAACTGTTTACAAATGAATGATCTGAATGTAATATATATGCATATATAATGTTTGTTATATATTCTGTATTTATCTACTATATCATATATCTTATATGTATTATATATATGGATAAATGTGGGTTAATGGCATAATAAAGAAAATATAATGCTATTTACCAGCTAATGCCTCCTTTTTAGATATTTCAAACATTATTAAAGTTAGATTTATAAGCTGGTTCCTTTCTGAATGTAGAAGACCAGCTGACTGCTGAGTTCAGACCAGGTTTGCTTTCCACCTTCTGAGACCTCTGTCATCTAGTCACAGGCCGGTCTCAGAGCATCTGTGTGAGTGCCCACCAGACCTCTGTCATCTAGTCACAGGCCGGTCTCAGAGCATCTGTGTGAGTGCCCACCAGATCTCTGTCATCTAGTCACAGGCCAGTCTCAGAGCATCTGTGTGAGTGCCCACCAGACAGTAAGCAGGCTCGTGCTTATATTACAGAATTGAGTCAGACTGTTACTAAGCCCTGTCTAAAACTTAAGAGTTTTTATGTTCTATTATTTTGCTTCTTCAATTATGATTGTCCATAAAATAATGTTTCCTTGCATCTCTTAGAAGGATATTAAGATTTTCAAAGTGCTTACCAAAGTAGGTCAGAACAGTATAGAATATATTAATTTTAGAAACATCGTGTTAAGTGAGCACTGTTACTTTTTTTTTTTAAATAAGAAAAAGCACAGTGAAGCTCTGCCACTATATGAAAGAGCATTAAAGATTTATGAAGACAGCTTGGGGCGGATGCATCCTCGAGTTGGAGAAACATTAAAAAATTTAGCTGTGCTCAGGTAAGAACTTTTCTCATCTATCCCAAAATGTAATAGCTTTGACTCTGCACAGAACAGCATGAAATATTTATCCCTGAAAATGGTCTTCCTTGGAGTGAGGATAGTTGCTTTTGGTCTTATGTAGCTTTGGATATTCAAATGGTATTCAGAAGCAGAGAGAAGGCAGGCTTACTTTTTGGAGGTGTGTATTGTGAAGATGGCTTATACCAGCGCTTACTGTCTATGGGGTGATAGGGTTACCTACTAACCTCAGAGCTGACAAGTTAGGTGTGTAGTGAGTTTTGCTCACTCCTGTGTGTTCATCTCAGAATGCAGGTGGTAACAACACAGCATTTTTACAGAACCCATGACAACATGGTTTTAATGGTGCACATATGAGAGACAGAAAGTTCCACAGTACAGATTGAGGAGTTTGGGAACCCTGGCTAACTGGTCTACCTGGATATATATATATATATATATATATATATATATATATAT